GAGGCCGGAGAGACGGTGGGATCCGGCCGCGCTGTCTCACCGTGTTTTCCCGTTATTTGTTCCCTCAGGTGATAAAGGGGAGCGGTGTCTCGCTGGAGAGCCTTGATTTCTTCGGGCGTGAGGAGGAAGCCCCCCTGGGGTCTGCTGAAGAGGGCGAGGGGCTTGCGGGAGAGCAGCAGGAGGATGATGAAGCAGGGAAAAACAGCGGAGAGATGGCAGGAAAGAGAAAGAGAAACGTGGAAAGCGGTGAAGGGAAAAGGAAAAAGAAAAAGACACGAGGTATGAACCATAGAATCGCTTTGGCTGGAGAAGACCTTTGAATTTGAGTCCAACTCTCAGTGCAGCCCTACAAAGCCAGCTGCTAAACCATGTCGCTAGGCATGACATCAAACACCTCCAGGGATGGTAACTCGGCTGCCTCCCTGGGCAGCATGTTCCAGTGCCTGACCCTTTCAGTCAAGGAATTCCTCCTAATATCCAGCCTAAACCTCCCCTGGTGCATCTTGATGCTGTTTACTCTCATCCTATCATTGGCTTCTAGGATGAAGAGATCGACCCCCTCCACGTGTGTCCTTGGTGGAGTACCCTGTTCATGCTTCGTGTTTCAGTTTATTTAAAATCTGCAGGTGCTGTAGGTTGTTTTCCTGGGAAAAAAAAAAAGAGGCTTCTGGGTTCTTTGGCTGGCTTGTGTGAGAGCTGATAAAATAATTGGGCCAGGATTTAGTGTTAACACATGGGGATGTGGTTGCCATCCTTCTGGAGTCGTCATTAACTTTAGAGAGAATGAGAGGAAAAAGATTTTGAGGTGTTCTTCTTTACTGGATTTTACTAGTGGAAAATTTCACTTTTTTTTTTAAACTTCCAGAAGCAGCATCAATGCCAGAGTTGTCAGAAAGTAATGGAATAAGGTGGATGTCTTCTCTGGAAGCAAAATTTGAAGATGCAAAAGACAAAAAACCTACTGCAGAGAAACTTGAACGCTTGAGAAGAGAAAAGGTGAGACCGTGGAATTCATGATTTCTTTGGATGTTTCATCTAAAAATTGAGGTTCATTTACGGTGATTCGTCTTGGGAGGAGGGTGACTGAGTATGGGGAAAATAACCAGAAGGTGACTCCACGCATGTTTAGTTTTATGCTGTTATAGAAAGAGTTTGGGTTTTGCTTTTTAGATAAACCGCTTCAGAAATAAACACAGGATTAATGTTCAAGGAACAGATCTTCCTGACCCAGTTGCCACATTTGACCAACTTCAAAAAGAATACAAAATTCACCCTAAAATCATGGAGAATATTCAAGCTGCTGGCTTCCAAGTCCCAACACCGATCCAGATGCAGGCTATTCCCGTCATGCTTCATGTAAGTGCTCTGATGTTGTATTTTATCACGGGGAGCGTGGTAAAATATGGAGCGGCCTCCCTTTGGGGTCACGGCGCTGGTTAGTTGCACAGCTTTAGAGGTATATCAGCTGCATCAGTGTTTAAAACTTAGCCATTGCAGTATTAAATATTTTGGGTTAGTCTACCACATTAAGATTTACGTGAATGTGATTTTTGGTTTGTGGAGTTTTTTTCTGGTTGAATGTAATGCTCTTCTTGTTTTTCTTACAGGGTCGAGAACTTTTAGCTTCAGCTCCTACTGGGTCTGGAAAAACACTGGCATTTTGTATTCCTCTCTTGACACATCTGAAACAACCGAGGAACAAAGGATTCAGAGCTCTGATCATATCACCCACCCGAGAACTTGCTAGCCAGGTGCGTGTCGAGGGGAAAGGGGGTTGTCATTTTGATGTGCTTAAAAGTTTTCACTCTGAGTCAGCAGAATAGCAGCTTAGTAAATATTTTTTTCTCAGATATGAGAAAAAGCTAATGTAAACATGCCTTTTAAGTCTTTTGTATTCTGTGAAATAGCTACATATCTAGTATCTCAGTCTAATCTAAATGATTAGATTAGAGGCTCAAGATTCTTTTGATTATATTTTAAAACTGCCCAGTACTTAGGTGCCCATAATATCTACTTTCATGTTTGGGATTTGCTACAAGAGATTTATCTGTGTGTCCCAAACACAGAATTTCAATGAATAACTTTTATTTTGGTTTGGTAAAAAAGCTTCAATATAAAATTACAACTTTGAGCTTACAGCAGCTAGGTTGTTAGAGTCAAAATACAGTAGTGAGGCCTTTGAGAACTTCCAAGTGAATGTTGCGTGTTAGGAAGCTGCATTTTGTTATGCTAGGAAATCCAGGCAGCTTTCTCTCAGTGCTGCAATGGGGGTGATGTTTGAAGCTGTATCTTCAGGACTGTCTGCAGCTTTTCTCATTAGAAAAGCTAATCAGCTCAGTTTGAAATTTTAGTCTCTCTTGTTGCCTTCTCAGACGCATCGCGAGCTGGTGAAGTTGGCTGAGGGGACTGGCTTCAGGATACACATGATCCACAAGGCAGCTGCAGCAGCAAAGAAGTTTGGCCCCAAGTCTTCTAAGAAATTTGGTAATTGTTTTAACTACTGAAGTGTTTCTAAAAATTGAGAAATTGTCACTGACCTTTCTTGTCTGACCTGCATGGTTTTAAAGAGATCGGTTAATTCCACTCTAGATGTGCGATCTATTGCCCAACGCTTTAAAAAAGTAGCTGGCGTGGAAGAAATAAGAAGCGAGCGTGACAGTGGGCCCCTGACAGATTGGATTGGAACTCGTTTTTCTCAGGGCTCTGTTAGTCTAGTTTATTTTGTGTCTTATTCAACATTTTTCTGCTTTTTTCTCTTTTTTTTCCTTTCTGTAGATGTACTAGTTACTACTCCAAACAGACTCATTTATCTGCTGAAACAAGATCCTCCAGCAATTGACTTGACCAGGTACCAAGAGTCTTTCTCACATGGGGCTTTGCTGCGGGTTTTGTTGCTGAAGAGCAGATGCGTGCATAGTCCTTGCATCTGTGACGGTCTGTTAGAACGTTTGCCTTCTCTGCAAGTGGCTCTTACTGAAAGGAAAACCACTCTGTTCCTAGTGTGGAGTGGCTGGTGGTGGATGAATCAGACAAACTGTTTGAAGAGGGGAAGACAGGGTTCCGAGACCAGCTGGCCTACATCTTCCTGGCATGCACGTCCCACCTGGTGAGAAGAGCCTTGTTCAGCGCAACCTTTGCACATGATGTGGAGGAGTGGTGTAAGCTCAACCTCGACAGTGTTGTTCTGGTGTCCGTCGGAGCAAGGTAGGTGTGCACTTGTGCTCCCACTCTCTACTCTGTTGGTTTTTTCCTATCCTGGGCAAATTATTTGCTTTCTTGGAATCATCAGTCTGCTTGGTTGTGTGTCTGTGTTGCTGGCCGTAGTGCTCCAGAAACAATTGTGCAGGCGTATAGAACCTTCTCACCTGTTGGGGAAGGTGCTGTTTTCCTTTGCCCCTTACCTTGGTGTCAAATAAGCATTGATTTTAAAAGTGTGTACTGATGAAATAAGTTTGTCCTGCAGTATTTCTCACCAGGTAACATTCATTAGTGTTTATATATATATATATATAAAATACATAT